GCCTCGATTATTTTTAAAGAGCAGAGTATGACCCCTGTAACACACATAAGTTTTTCTGTCAGGTATATAAAAGGGAAACTTAAAATCAAGGTTTCTGGGGAAATCTCGACGTTTTCGCTAAATGCAAGAAGAAATCCACGGCTCGCATGTATTTCTGGAGGAAAATCACGTCACACATTGAATCATAAATTCACGAATCACGGTTGCCTTTCTGACAAATTCGCGCTTCACATATTAATTTCGGCCATATCACGCGTCANAAGAACTTCGGACGTGTGTTTGCTTCCCTTGGCGAACACCGAAAGGCTATAGAATATCAGGAGAAAGCACTTGCCATCGCGATAGAAATTGGCGACAGAAATGGAGAAGGAATAAGATACGGGAGCCTCGGATATGTGTTTGCTTCCCTTGGTGAATATCAGAAGGCTAAAGAATATCAGGAGAAAGCACTTGCCATCTCGATAGATATTGGCAACAGGAGAGGACAAGGAAGAAGCTATGGGGGCCTCGGATCTGTGTTTACTTCACTTGGCGAATGTCAGAAGGCTAAAGAATATCAGGAGAAAGCACTTGCCATCGCGATAGAAACTGGCGACAGAGAAGGAGAAGGAAAAATATACCAGAGCCTCGGATCTGTGTTTGCTTCACGTGGCGAATGTCAGAAGGCTAAAGAATTTCAGGAGAAAGCAGTTGCCATAGCGATAGAAATTGGCGACAAAGATAGAAAAGGAATAAAATGCTGGAACCTCGGAAATGTGTCTGATTGCCTTGGCGAATATCAGAAGGCCAAAGAATATCACGAAAAAGCACTTACTATCGCGATAGAAATTGACGACAGACGTGGAGAAAGAATAAGATACGGGAACCTCGGAAATGTGTTTGATTCCCTTGGCGATCATCGAAAGGCTAAAGAATATCAGGAGAAAGCACTTGCCATCGCGATAGAAATTGGCGACAGAGAGGGAGAAGGAGAAGGATACGGGGACCTCGGAAATGTGTTTGCTTCCCTTGGTGAATATCAGAAGGCTAAAGAATTTCAGGAGAAAGCACTTGCCATAGCGATAGTGTGCTGTATTCGATTTACGTTTACATTAATTCAGCCTCGCTTCCGTTCATGATTCGATGTATAATCACTTCCGGTAATGGCGACGACACATGTTAGAAAATATTAAAAGTTCTGTGTTGAAATCCAAGAATATATCTCCGTTTCTCGTGCCATCCGAACACCACAGATAGGAATTGGCGACAGAAAAGGACGAGGAAGAAGTTACGGGGGCCTCGGATCTCTGTTTACTTTATTTGGCAAATATCAGAAGGCTAAAGAATATCAGGAGAAAGCACTTGCCATCGCGATAGAAATTGGCGACAGAGATGGAGAAAGCAAAACATAAGGGAACCTCGGATCTGTGTTTTTTGACCTTGGCGAACATCAGAAAGCTAAGGATTATAACGAGAAAGCACTTGCCTTCGCGATAGAAACTGGCGACAGAAAAGGACAAGAAAGAAACTACGGGAGCCTCGGATCTGTGTTTGCTTCCCTTGGGGAATATTAGAATGCTAAAGAATATCAGGAGAAAGCACTTGCCATCGCGGTAGAAATTGGCGACAGAAATGGAGAAGGAACAATATACGCGAACCTCGGTGCTGTGTTTTCTTCACTTGGCGAATACCAGAAAGCTAAAGAATATCAGGAGAAAGCACTTGCCATCGTGATAGAAATTGGCAACAGAAATCGAGAAGGAGCAATATACGGGAACCTCGGAGGTGTGTTTTCTTCAGTTGGTGAATACCAGAAGGCTATAGAACATTTGGACAAAGCAGTCGGAGTCAGTATAGCAATTGCTGACAAAGAACTAGAAGCCATGGCTATTGCAGGTTTGGCAGCTGTCTCTGCTTCTGTGAATGACAATCAGAAGGCAAAAGAACATTGTGCGAAGGTGCTTATCATTAGCAGAGAATGTGCGAAGAGAAATTTAGAAGCACAACTTTACCTAAGTCTTGGAGATGCATACCTAAGTCTTGGTGAATATGGCAAGGCAGCAGATTATTTAAAGAAAGCTTGCTCCATAAGCAGCCAAATTGGACACAAAATGAATGAGTTTCGCAGCCTTCTTAGTATTACGCAGTTAAAGATATCGCAGTCAAAGGCTGTGGAGGCAAAGGAATATCTTCTTAAATGTATTGGAAAATATGAACAAATCAGAAGTTTTGTGAAAGGAAACAGTGACTTTGAAATGTCTCTGTTAGAGGTACACGGTACTTTTCCCTATCAGTTACTCACTGATTTCCTTTGCCGTGCTGGAAAATATCGAGATGCTCTCTATGTTGAGGAGCTGGCACAAGCAAGAGTCCTCTCAGAAATCATGGCAGACAAGTATTCCGCCAAAAGCCACATCTCAGCTGATCCAGAATCATGGTTCGGGATTGAAAACATCTTGAAAAGAGAAAGTAACTGTGTTTTTTTGTACATTTCGTTTAAAAGGTGGCAAGTTCTTCTCTGGGTATTGAAAGCAAATGGAGACATTTGTTATCGAGAAACAGAAGAAGTGAAAGTAAACACTCAACCCGTGCTGAAAGTTTCAAGCATAAACTTTCTACTACTTACCGTGCATTACTTACCGTGACGTGCCGCCTTGTGAAACGATAAGTGATCATGAAGGTCCGTGTGCTTGCATCAACATCAGGGTTAATCGCTTTCGGGCGCTTTTTAAATTTGTGCGCAACGAGGAGCAGTTTGACGAAGCTTTTTTCAAAGGGGATCTAGCAACACTCCCTTTCAACCTAGTGTATAGTGTCGATGATCCCAACGAAAAACTTGATATGTTCAATACGCTATTGAAATCGTGCATAGACCAACATGCCCCGCTACATCGAACAAAAATCACATGTCCACCTACACCCTGGCTAAATAAGGACGAAATTCGGGAGATGTAGAAAGAGCGAAACAAATTGAGGCATCTAGCGCATCAAACTAGTTCTCCTTCAGTATGGGACGAGTTCCGCGAAGTACGTAACAAAATTAGAACTAAGATCAAGAAATTTAAGCGCAAATTTCTCCTAAGGGCCTTGTCTTCCAAGAAACCAAAAGAACTATGGAATACTATTCATCGAATCCTGAATCCAAGCCCGCAGTCTATTAAAACTGACCCAAATACACTCAATAAACGCTTCAGTTCGACCTCGCAACGTTTGCCTGGTTCAACAACAACAATCAATGCGGATATACTATCCGAGCTTATAAACTCCTCTGGGAATGAAAGCGACCCATCTAACTTCCATCTCCGACATGTCACTTATTGTAAAGTGTTGAAGTCTTTGAAATCTATGAGATCTGACTGTTCAACAGGAGCTGACCAGATTCCAGCGAAATACATAAAAATGAGTGTGGAAGTCATGGCCTCTCAGCTGACTCACATCCTAAATAGCTTCATTTCTGAGCGCTGTTTCCCAGAGGCCTGGAAGATCGCACATGTATCACCGATCCCAAACGTCTACAGCCCGGTGCAGAACGATGATTTCCGCCCAATTTCAATTCTTCCTGTCCTTTCCAAAGTTTATGAAAGACTTGTACCGTGTCAGGTTCTTGAATTCATGGAGACGTGTCAGATTTTAAGAGGTGGAATCAGTGGCTATCGCAAAGGTCACTCAACCTCCACAGTTCTGTTGCGCATTCGAGATGACATCATAAATGCAAGAAGGGTGAGGTTACGTTATTAGTCTTTGCTGACTTTTCTAAGGCGTTTGACACCGTCCATTATTCGGTTGTGATACGCAATACGCAAGTTGCATCGCATTGGGTTCTCTAACGAAGCATTGCAGTGGATCTTAAGCTATCTCTCCTCGCGAAAGCAGTTTGTTCAGGTGAATCAACATACTTCCAAGTGAGCGCGTCGACCTCAAGATCGTTGATCATTAATAAGAACAACCAGGGACCAAGCTTGGTCCCCTGTGGTACCCCGGCGGGGACTGAGCCCCATTCTGACCTCCAGTCTGATGACAACCTGACACGTTGTTTCCTGTCTGACAGAGAATCCAGCACCCAGACGCGAACCCA